GCAGATTCTGTTTGTGATTGGGACATCTTGAAGTCAACAGCGAGATGTCAGGAACTAATCTCCCGGCGACAGGAATTCATCATTTGTACCGTTGCCACGACTGCCCTATTTGGAGTCGTTTTTTTTGCAGTTTATCTTCACGCTCATGCCCGGGGCCGGGGTTGAATTTGGTGGAGTGATTGTGTCTTTGCGGGCAGGATCGGCATTGAGAGATAACGTGAACTTTAGAACCTTGATTTCGAATCTTGTTGCTTGTTTCAGATGTTTCCGAAAGATTTCGTTTTGAGTCATGTCAGCTTTAGACGCTGCGCACTTTTCGGCTCAAGAGAATCTCACAGAGACGGGTCAGTGAAACTGGCTCATTCCTGATAGCGCGCATCCATCGCCGGACCAGCGCGCATCTTCATCAAGCTGTTGTGAAGTTGCCAACTTCTGGTAGTCGCCGGGCTACTGTGGAACTTTGCCAGCACTTGCTTCCACGGCCATGCATGGCTTGGGAATATACTTTTGATTAATGCTGGGGGCTTTAGCTGCTCCCCGATGATTTCAGATCAGCTGTCCCAAGGGCCAGGAAACGATTCAGCTTCGTTCGAAAAGCGCAGAAAAAGCCGGCTGGCTTGGTTGTGGTCTGTGTCATGCTGCATACTGCCATTACTTCAAAACCACTCACCTGATTTTCGATTTTTTCCCAGTTTTCCAGGTTCGCAGACCGCGCTGCAGCTGTACTGCACCATGGTGTCCTTGTTTGCGTCAAACACCTTCTCATCTCATTTTGTTTTTCTCGATTTTCCTGGTTCGCAGTCCTTGCAGCAGCTGTGCTGCATCATGGTTTCCTTGTTTGCATCAAAGTTGCAGTGCCATGTTGAATGTGCCTATTTGCAACTGTCGCTCCCGTTGTGCTCAAGTTGATCGCCTGAGCTACTGTTGTCCACCTGTGCTCTCCGAGCCGGGAAATTGACTTAAACAAATACATTCGCTGCATTGGCCGCCATGGAAGCGCAAGACATAACTGCGGTACTGCCCAGTAGGGAAACAGCAGACTGTCACGCTAGCAGTATCAGCCAAGGTTCAGGAACTCAAAGAGATTTTGCAGCGATGATATGATTCCTGGACGCGCGAGGTGCGGTGTTGCGGGTCGATGATATGATTCCTTCGCCTGCAAGCGCACACTGCGTTACATGTGTCGCGCGTTTCCCTTTGTCTCGCTTCAACCTGGAAAGCCTTTGCTCTGTGGTGTCACAATGACCGTGTAGTGATGGGGGCATCCTGCCTACGGCTCCGACAGCTCTGGTGTGTGCAAGCGCCTGCGCAAAGTGGTGCAGATCGTTGCCAGCGGCCGCGCTTTTGCCGCAGTGACATCATACGGATCTGTTGTTACCTGGGGCTTGCCGAAGATGGTTGCTGACAGGGCAATGGTACGGCAGCAGCTCTATGGCAGCAGCTCTATGATGTGAGAAGCGTGACTGCAGCTGCCCAGGGCGCATTTGCCGCCCTTCGTCATGATGGGTCTGTCGTCACCTGGGGTCCAAGCCAAATTGAAGGGAGTGACGCAGATTCACAGCACGCATACTGCATTCGCTGCCATTGTGTTGGATGGGTCCGTGGTTGCTTGGGGAGACCCCTAGTAATGGAGGAGACAGCTCGATGGTCCAAGACCGACTTCAAGGCATTGTGAATGTTCAGGGCAACCCTTATGCATTTGCAGCTGTCACGGAGGAAGGGTCGCTTGTCACCTGGGGAAAGGCCACCTTGGGGGGCGATAGTTCTGTGATACGAGAAAGTCCGGCAAGTCACACCCTCTTTGAAAGGGTTCTTTGCCAATGCTGACGGATGTCAAGTTCATACATGGGTCTGCCAAAGAGTTTGCAGCAGTGCGCTACAATGGATCCATTGTTACATGGGGAGCGCAGGACGGAGGCGGGGACAGCTCCGCAGTGCAATCTGCGATTGCCACTTTCTAGTTGCAGTGGCCATTAATGTTGCTACTGCAGCTGCGGCAAAATTAGACATCTTCACAAACTTGGACATATGGTATAGACAAACAGGCCTGCGGAACAGCCTGCTATGGTGTAAAAATTTGCGATGGGAAGCTGGGCGCAATGGTAATCTAGTGGTCGAAATAGTCGGGACATCCTCTCAATCCCTCAGATGCACTGTCCGCTGCAGCTGCCCTGCATGCTCAGAGAACTTCATGCTTTTTAACTACAGTGTTACAGTGTGGTGTAGCATTTGCTTGTTTGCGCCTATCTTCATCCGTTGGGCTCAAATTTAGGCACCTGCGCCAGTATTGTCAACCTGTGCTCTCCGAGCCGGGCGATTGACGTAGACATCGTGACATTGAGCTGATATGTAGATGTACGTGTTCATGCTGTGAACAAGATCATCATTGTCATTTACAACCTTGTAGCTCTCCTTTGAAACCATGGCCGACGAAGCGCAAGCGACTCGGCGAGCCTTCACCATTCAGGGGCGCAGGTTGCTTAGCTATGCTGCGAGGTTCCAAACGCATAGAATCTCGGAAGAGGCGGATGGCAGCTGGCTGGTACTATTTTCACGTGGGCCGTTAGTCAATCAACAGCTTGCCCCCCGAATGTTCGGCCGCCTTGCGCCAGACATGGCCGGATGCGCCAGAGGAAGCTTCTTTGTCCAAAAGTTGCGTGGTTGGGATGGTGTGCCTAGGGAAGGTGATTCAAGCCAGCAAGGTTGAAAACCCATGGGTCTGTGCCTCCTTGCCGTTGGTCCCCGAGATTGTTGCCATAGAGTTCAGATCCCCAGTTCGATGGGAAAAGGGGAAGCAAGTTGTCTGGCATGTCAAAGAAGGAGAGATGCAAGGGAAGCTGAAGGAAGCAACCGCCTCTGGGATTCCTTGTGGCCGACTGCAGAAGATGAGGGACCCGCTGCCAAGCGCCAGAAGCTCACGCAGCCGCCTTGGAAAAGCAAGAAGCGGAAGCGCCGTTCTGACGCTGGGAACACCGGCAGTCCGGCTCAAGTTTCCTTCACAGCATCCAAGCGTCGCCGGCTGCTTCTTCGCAGCCCTTTGCAAAAGCCGAAGTTGGCTAAAGCACCAGCATCAGAAGCCTTGCAGGCCAGCACAAGCCCGCAGAGGGGACCTGACCGTTGCAGTCTTGCCCAACGGGTGGCAGCAGGAAGGACGTTGGAGCTGCTGACAACACTGATGGCAAAGTCACACAGTTGCAGCCCAGAGGAGGTCTCTTTGCTTTCCGGGACGATCAGCCAGTGTTCATTCTGAGTCTGCGGACAAGCAGAAAAATTCCTTTGGCTGATGTGGTTCCATTGAAGCAGGCAACTTTTCAAGGACGAACCGTCCTCAAAGCCAAATACACAGAGACCCGCACATGCAGATGGAGTGAGCTCAAAGATGTCGGCTTACATTTCCAGATTGCCAACTGTGCGAATGATCGCCGTGGAGCGAGTGGCTTGGCCTCGATGATTTTTTGTAACATGTTGCCATCCTTTAAAGAGAGACCCGCAACAGATTGTTTTTATGTAGCCTTGCATGCCTAGGCTTGCCGTTCCAGAAGCAACCGGGGGAAACACAAGGAGATCAAGGCAGAGCTTTGCGCGAGAATGCAGCTTTGGCAGCTCGCTGGCAGGCTGGCAATGCAGAGCTAGGTTTGGCCACTTCATGCACAGTTGATCACTCGGTGCGATCCGTTGTGCCAGTGCGTTTGCGGGCGCACCTGGCCGAACGAGCTGCTTCAGGTATTACCCATCACGCGGCCCCACGCGCAGATGAGAACCGTTCCTTTTGGATTCCGCGACTGAATTAGTTCTGTCTACCTGTGTTCTCGGAGCCGGGCAATGTCAGGACAGTATATCATTGAGTCATTGAATCTATTAATGCAACACAATCACACACAAGCAGCATCAGAGTCACCCTTTTAAAGCCTCTAGCCCTATGTTAATGGCAACGCAGCGCCCTTTCTGCTGACGCCGCAAGATGCCTGCCCCCGGTGATGCTGGGTATGGAATTTGGCTGGACAATTTTTATTGTGGTGTGCGATCCATGGCTCCGTTTGGTGTGTGGCTCCCTTGGCAGGAGGGTGTGACCTTAGCTGCAGCCTTTGGCTTCACAGAGAATGTATGCTTTGAATGCGCTGACACCTGGTTGCAGCTGGATGCTCTGGAATTTGACCCTCCAAGGCGGTCTGGAGATGGCAGCGGCCGGGCAGATGTGCAGCGGATTCGCTTGCTCTACAAGCGTGATTTACACGGAGATGATGGGCTCGTTATAGTTTCCTGTGACGAGGAGGATGTCATCTCCCCGCAGCATGCTCCACCAAACGTATGTAGACGCTGGCGTTCAGGTGCATTAGAGCCCATTGCGGGTGTTGAAGTTGACCTTGCATTGCCGCGGGCGCTGGATGAGCAAAATGTTCGTCTCTTGCTTGTCTATACTGGCACCTGTACAGTCAAGTTGATCAAGAACGTCCGCCTGAAAATTTGCCGCCAGACATTCCGCTATGGGCTTGGGAGTTGTTTTCAAAACCAAGATTTCATTGGACTGAGGCTCGGGTTCAAGCGTTGCAAGAATCTTGTTTGCAGACGCTGCAGGCCGCAGACCGCAAATTATCCGTACCTGATTAGCGCCGCCCTGGCTTCGTCCACTGCGACCTGTGGGTCTCAATGGCACGGACGATATTGTGCTCTCAATCGCAAGAAACTTCCAGAAAGCAGTCCTTTTGTACACTAGGCCAAGCAGTTTTTGATCATGTCGCGAGGTTAAAAAAATTCGCTGCGCGCTACAGAAGTGTTGAAACTGAGAGATGTGGAGGGCATGTGAACATTTTCACATTGTTCCGGCTGTCCACGCAGCGCAGCATGCATGAGAGCCAGTTTGGTTGCATGGAGTCGATATCACGCTTGGGACTGCAAAGGCAAATCCGACAAATATGACCATGATACCACGCATTGACAAGTGCTCTCCGGTACCCAAGCCGCGCCATCAAGTTCAAGTTGTAGGAGTTAGCTTCCTAGACATGGCCACGTGTGAAGTTTGTGGAGATGGTTTCGCAGACGATGCGGAAAAACACTTGTGCTCCCCGAGCCGAGACTCTTGCTCGCACGTGTGCCACGCGGATTGCTTGCAGCAATACCGATTAAAGCAGGGCTGCCCTATGCATGACTGCCCATTCTGTCTTCAGAATGAAGATTCCCAGGAAGAGGCTGATGATGCCGCTTTGCAAGAGATGGAGATTGAGGCAGCAATGGAAGCAGAGGCTGTGGCTGAGGGGGTAAAAAGAAAGACCAGAGAAGAGGCAGCTTCGCCTGTCCGTGCGGGTGGGGGCCCAGCGGGCAAGAAGTTAGCAACCAACGCAAGCCCGCCAGCAGGACAACGCAGCCCAGTGCCGCCCACCCAAAGATCCCCAAGCCCAGAAAGCCCTCCCTTCACACAGGGTGGAAGTGAAGCAGCCCGCTTGTCCATTCCAAGCTTTGGGATTGACATCTACGACGACCTGAGTCGGACCAGCAAGGCATCTACCACGGTGAAGGATCCTATGCACGACGCCATGTCGGAGTACTTGGCTTGCAGGGATGAAGCACAAAGCCTTTCGTTGCTTCACACCAAGAGCACATATCAAGGGCTTGGAAGCCCAGAGGCTTCTTATCAAACCGTTCTGAATGCAGCCTTGAAAGACCCCAGGGACCACCACGCTGTGGCATCAGACTTTGCCTTCAGAACTCGAGAAGTGCTGCCCGTGCCTTTCGAAGTCAGCTTGAGAACCATTGCCCGCAAGGAAGGTTGTGAGCCTGAGACATTCATGGCGCCGATCCTCAGCAACATTGGTTGGATGGAGCATCCATGCAGGCACGCGGCTTCGATTGCAGCCTGATGAGGAGCACCGACGTGGCTGCGTAGTCCAGATTGTTTGCGCAGGTGACCCCAGCATGCGCAAGAGTTATTTGAAGGATTTTACCTGCAAAAAGCTTCTTTCCCATGCAGATGTCCCTGCTGTCATCAAGGCAGGTGGCGCCACATGCACGGATGCCACCATCAAGGGTCTTCGTGCTTCTATCAAAGAATATGCCCGAGCTGGCATCATTTCGGATGAGATTGCCACAACAATATGCCATGACATCCGGGAGGGAGACCCGACACTCAGGTCTGCATTACGGCAACAAAGAAAAGATGTGCACTTGGCTGAACTGCGAAGATGACAAGACAGTGACTGGAGATGGTGCCACGGCGCTGACTCATTACACCTTCGTTCACCAAGTGTATGGACAGGTGTCGCTTTGTGAGTATGTGCTCCAGCGACTGCAAGCATGTTTTGCAAGAGAATCCATGCGACGTGGCAAACAAGGCCAGTGACAAGTGACCCTGATCAGCAGAGCCAGTCCAGCAAAGAGTTCCTGATTGACTTCTTTGGTTGGATGGGGCGCGTGGCAAGCAACCAGGACAAAGACCACTATTTTGACAAGTTCGCCTTGCCCGTGCTCAGGAAGGCTTTGCAGGGAATCTCCGACTTCTTTCACGAGAATCACGAGAATCACGAGAATGTAGAGGAACCAATCTAACAGAAGCTACGCTATGCTGACACAGATGTGGCTCGGTACGCTAATGCAGCCATGCGTTGCAGGCAGTATTCTGAGGCCCGAGCGCGTTGGCCCTTGATAGGATCATAGATGAGTTTGCCATTGAGATGACCATCTTCGATTTGGGACATGCCTTGCATATCTGGCGTCGCCAAATGTGCTTGTGGTTTGCCTTCTATCGCTCCAAGCAAGTCCAAGCCTTGGTAGGCCCCAAAGCAGTGCCAGATGTCAAGCCCCCAGGACTTGCAGATTTGGATGCCAAGGTGAAATTGCAGCGAGTCATTCTGTCCAATCCTCGATGCGCTGGTCCAACCTCCACTGCGCACATTCGCTCTGTTCTGAAGTACCACTTTCAGAAGGAGAAAGAGGAAAAACCAGCAAAGTTCGTCTTGGCAGCAGTCAAAGACCTCTTGAAAGTTGGCATCTTGCAAGAGGTTGACAAGAAGGAAGTGGAAGAACAGGCGCCCAAACTTAAGGACAAGAAAAGCGCCAAGAGCAAGGAGGCCACGCTAAAGAGCGAGCCACGAGGCCCGCCAGGTGGCCACGCTGTCCTGTACTACCAGACATGTGCCTGGGAGGGCCTTTTGACTAATTCGGAAGCTCAAGACATGATTGCCAAGCTTCAACTGAGTGCCAATGATTTCAAGTAGGATTCCAGAAATACGAGGTCTTGCACGGTCCCATGTCTAAACTGTCAGCCCAAAAAAAGAGTGACAATGTGCTCCAAAGCACTTGTTGTATATAAGTCTTGTTTCCAAAGATACGCGTCAATAATGGTGCGATTCCTCGAAATTAAGCTCTGATTTCTTTCCAGCCCGAGCGTGTTCCTGACCCTACGAGGTGAATGCTTTCAATCAAGACTGTATGGTGGCTGCAACATATTGTGCGTCAATTTCAATCAACCCACCCATTTTCATGACAAGACATTGTGGTGTGAAGATCTTGCATAGTGGTTCATCATGGTGTCCAAAGCCACATTCAAAACAGTCTGCTTGGCCTTCTAGTGTTCAATCGTGTGCGCTGGTGGCATGAGATTGACAAAGGCCCAATCTATTCTTTTTGAGGCAAAGCGGACAGCCAACACCGCGGCTCCAAAATAGTTTGTGCGGCGCATATGAAGCCACTGTTCGCTGAACATAGCCGTTCGAGATGTTGAAGCAAGACACATGTTTTATTTGTTCCTGATCAAGTCCAAGAAAGAATTGAAACTTGCACCTGTTTATTCTGTTTTCTACCATTTCTGTTTTCTACCATCCTTTCCGACTGCGATATAATTTTTCTGCTTCATGGGGGAAAGAAGACTCACGGGAGTCCTGTCCACACCGACCATGTCGCTGACTCCTGCGTCTGCAGGTGCCGATGCTAAGTGGCACCATGACAATGGCTTCTACCTTAGGGATTCAGCAGATGCTGATGCCAGCATGCGTGATGTTGGTACGCAATCAAATAGAGATGGCACAATAGTCCACTCCTCACTGTGACCATCGGGTCTGTGGTCCCGCGGGGCACGTGCACTGCGCGTCGGTGCGCATTCCCGGAATGGCTGGAGGTTGCTTCCGGTGATGCTTGATGCTTAATGTCACATTGGTGTCATGTAATGTTCAACGCAATTTTTCTAGGACATGTTTAAACATAGTCGATCTTTGTTTGGTCTCATACAGACCTTGTACAAAAGGATCTTGCACAGCAGCGTCTAGAAAGAACCTGTCAAGGAGATCTTGCACACGTCTTCTACAAAGGGAACTTGCAGAATCCAATCTGGTATTGATGCCACGGTGTTTGGAGTCGCCACTTAATCCCCGTCGGCCGCTCCACTCGCCCCACTCGCCCCCCTCGCCCCACTCGCCCCATTCGCCTCACTCGCCCCACTCGCCCCACTCGCCCCACTCGCCCCACTCGCCCCACTCGCCCCCCTCGCCCCACTCGCCCCACTCGCCCCACTCGCCCCACTCGCCCCACTCGCCCAAACATTCCATTCACGTTACCACCTCTATTCCTTTTTCATACTGCTGTGTGGTGAAACCAAAGCAAGCAGGGCAAGCGGGGCAAGCGGGGCAAGCGGGGCAAGCGGGGCAAGCGGGGCAAGCGGGAAGCCCACCGATCTTCCCTCGGCTTGCAAGTAGGGCAAGCGGGGCAAGCGGGGCAAGGAGGAAGATTCACTTATTTTCCCTAGAAGGGGAGCAAGCGGGGCAAGCGGCAGAAATCACTTAGCGGCCCCGCGGGGCACCCACACTGAAACAGCAGTGAATATCCCAGGTGCAGGTGCTTTGTCCGGCGCCCAGCTTTCGGGGAAACGAAGAAAGGGTCGTTTAATCCTTGTTTATTTGTGCACTATGGATCACTATGAAGGATATATGTCCTCAGCTAAGCAGGAATATGACTGGTTGGTGGTTTGGACCATGAATTTTATGCACCATTTCATAATATATGGGATGTTATCCTTCCCATTGACTTTCATATTTTTCAAGATGGTTACCGGACCACCAACCAGATGATAACGACCTGTTCTTTTTTGCAAAATATCCAAGATTGGCCATGTTTTCAGCAACACAGGCCATGGTGGTTGAGCAAAAACAGTACGAAAAATTGGCTATGCTAAAGGGTAGCCTAATCATGCAAGTGAAATTCTACCGTAGACACGTCAGTTTGTAGATGATGTTCCTGTTAGAAAATCGGGACTTCCCACGGTCATATTTCATTCCCGGAAGGTGTGAGAAAACGCCACACAGGCATGAAACAACACGTAAACAGAAGGGAACCACGATGTCTAGACATGTTTTATTTACACTTACTCTCCTGACCGTTAACATGGATGCTGAAAATTGAGAAAATGTACGGATGTGCGATGTTAGTGGGTTCTGTTACTTTTTTTTCAGTTTTGGTGGTTTGAGCGTCCACGTTGGCATCGGGCATCCGAAAAACACAAAATGTGCATTCATTTGCAGCATCCATGTTAGTGTGACATACGTCAAGGTTCCACTAACATGGACGCTCAAACATGTTCTTTTGAACAATATTCAGACATGGACATTCATAGTAGGATTTTGGGCTTCAGGCAGGTGAGCTGCGGTGGTGTCAGCAACATCTATGATTCGATCCCTTGACACACCTGAAAAAAAAAGAGAGAGACACGACACGTTTCTGGAACCGGTGTTTTTGATGGCAGTCATATTTTGCAATGTTTTGCTAACATGGACGCTCCCAGGATTACAGGCTATCTCTCCCTTGGGGCGACTGGGAACCTCCAAAAAATATGAAAAATGCAGCGTCCATGTTGGTGGACACTTGTTAGCTAAATTTTGACATTTTTGTGGCATGCACGGGGCAACACAAAGCTTCGCTAAAATGGCAATTGCTGCAGGCATAGGCAACAGGAGTCTGACAAAAGGAGCGAGGAGCAACAGGATCATAGCGACAAAAGGAGATTTGACATGGAAGCTCCCTGCAGAACTGGGGAACCAATTTCTCTCAAATCCTGGCGCAGCATATATTTCGTCCTATGGCCGAGTACCTGGGGAGTTCAGACCCTGCTGCCCCACATTATCCGACAGCAGCACAGCTGGTGACATGGGCAAATGCCCTCATCTCATTGAATCAGGAAACATTACGTATAAGTTTAGTGATGCTAATTTGAAGATTCCATCCCCATCTTTTGCAGCCAGCCCCTGAATTTGTGACAGCTGAGTATGATGAAACTCCCATGAATTGTGCAGGTCAAATAGATCCGGTTCCTCCCAAGGAGCATCAACAGCAGTTGCATCGTGGGCTGCGGAGCGGGCTTGAATGGTCAGGCAGAAATATGTGGGATGTGGCCGGTGATGCGAGTTGTTGCGGCAAATCGTTAACAAGGATTTAAAGAAGTTTCATGGGATGTATAATGATGTATACAGTTATTGGTTTTTTACCAGTTATAAGTACTGTGATTTCTTGGTAGATATATGTGTTTTCTGGATATTCTCAGTGTCTTGCAATGAAGCCTGATCCAAGGTCCCAGTCTCTTTCCTGGTACCTTTCACATGAGAAGGCGTTCGAAGTTTTCGCCGAAGCGTGCGGACTTGACTGGGATTACGAACATCGCCTTCATGATGATGGATGCCTCCTACTTTGGACGGCTACAAATCCTTCACATGGTGGGAAGTGTATAGCCATGAAGGGGCGTTCTCAGCGATGAACCATGTGTTGGCCATACCAACTTCATGTGTGCAGTTGCTTGGTTGGGTATTAGAGCATTTCTTGGGACATTTCTTGGGACATTTCTTGGCACAATGGTTTGTGATGCCTTCTCATTGTATGAACATTGATGATATTATGGAATGTATAATCCCATTTTTAATCAGTTATAAGTTATAAGTTATAACTCATTTATAACTGGTAAACGGCCATAACTGTAGACGATTTATAGAAAGAAGTAACCCCCCCCGTTATGTTGGTTTAGTTCCACCCATCAGACAAGTTCCATAGCCTAAACCTCCGTGAAACGATGAGTTTTCGTGGCGGAACTGTCGACGATGGGTTTCAGGGTGGCTAAAATCATGGTTCTGCTGCCTCTTTGTATTATGATTCAATATTTAGATATGTTTAGTCATTTTTCTGGTGAAAAATATTTGAAATCCCACTTGAAACCACCGGATGAAAAGGGATACTGTCGCCTATTTTCTGACAAACCGAAATCCGTTGGCCGTATAACTGCTAAAAGGCTGCCCTCGACGTAGGTGTGTTGGTTTTTAAAACCCCATCAACTACTGTATAATGATGTATAATGTTAGTAAAACAATAATAAACCATCCCAATTTTGCCACAAATGGGTTGTCTAAACCATCAAATTTGGGGTGGTTTACTATTAGATTTATTATGTATATATAACATTACAGTACCTGTAAATAATAACCCAAAGCTCTAGTGAACCTGAAGTGAAGAAAATTAGCTACAAGGTGGTGCCCCATAGTTAAGTCGACTTATAATTTGCTTAACCTTTGGGGTTATGGGACATATAACCATATAGATAGTGGTTTTTATAAGCCAACATGATCATTGGGGGGGCACCACCTTGCAACTACTAAGCCCTGCCGGACCTGGCAGGTTGTCTTGGAGTGGTTGACTTGGAATTTCCCATTCGAGGCAGAAGGGACTGGTGACTGGTGACTGGTGACTGGTGACTGGTTGATACATATAACGTATAACAACATCTCACAACTTATGGGTGTGTCTGAAAATAGTGTACCCCTAAACCCAATGGTTAATGATCATTATCCCTATTAAATGGCTATAATTGGGAATATACCCTATTTTCAGACATACCCATATAACAACATATGACAAAATAATCTAACATACAATAGCACATAATAACATATAATTGACATGTAAAAACAATAATAACATGCAATACATTATAATGACAGTGATAGTAACAACAATACTAGTTACATGTGATTTGGGATATATTGGGGATGTCGGATAGATGACTGGGTTGTTATTCTAGCGACAGTTTTGGAACCTTTTCCCAACAGCCTCACAGCATTTACCGCAGAAGTGCCAACCCATCACTTTTTCGAAGCATCGACGAAGCAACGTAAGCTCCGAGATTCTGCATGGAAATGTCAAAAATAGAAGTTGCAAGATGCAGTTGATTGCAGTTGAAACATTTCCGACTAAAAAACTCTTACGATTTGCCCATCGATGTCCATGCGATTCTATGTCAGACTGTGGTATGTTCCATTCAGGCAGGATACCAAGAATCTTCTCAAATGCCACATGCATTATGTGTATATCGTCAACCTGGGATTGACAAACCCTTGACCCCTTGAGGGGTGTTCAGTCATACCCAGTGCTAGTTTGCCCTTAGAATGATACCCCCTAACCAAAAGCCCTGCAAAAATGTTGACGATTACTCCATCAATCTGGATCAACAAAACATATTACTTTGTCCATCCCCATATGCTCCATGTATGGAATATTTACCTACATTTACCGCAAAAATGGCCCAAATGTTGGTAAATATTCCAGCACCATGGAACACATGGGTATTACTTTATCCATCTGCCAGTGAAGCGACCCAGGCAGACATGCTGGACGGCGAGGTCAACACACAGGCACGAGTCGATTTTTGTTTCGGTCATGTTGAATCAAGGCCCCCCAAGGTGAGGTTTCCCAAGTGATAAGTTGGTTTATGGCTTCATAAATGTTTATACAGACATGTTTAGAAATGTTTATACATGTTTATAAATGTTTATAAATGTTTATACATGTTTATAAATGTTTATAGATGTTTATAAATATTTTTAGATGTTTATAAATATTTATAGATGTTTATAAATGTTTATAGTTGTTTATAGATGTTTATAAATATTTATAGATGTTTATAAATATTTATAGGTGTTTATAAATGTTTATAGTTGTTTATAGATGTTTATAAATGTTTATAGATGTTCATAAATGTTTATCAAGTCATGAAACTAGTTCGTGACATATACCATCATATCCGCCATTCATTGTCAGTTTTTCAGGTTCAGCCATGTGATGTTTTCACTTCCACAGGTGAATCTTGTCAAACATGTGGAATCTCCGCTGTTTTTTTCCTCAAAACATATGATTTTTCTCATAACACCTGTTAGGTTTCATAAGAAACATTAAGAAACTTAAATTAATCTTTATCCATATAAATATAACTATATACATATATATATATATATTATCATATTGATTGTATGAAGTTGTCCATATCGTGAACTCTTTAAAGTACCCCTTTTTGCCCCAGGATCCACCTGTTTGACACTCCCGGCGCAAGGCATGCCCTTCGGGCTTCAGTTCCACCATGACCATCAAATGTCACTGAGCTGCAACCATTCTGGATGGCTGAAAAAATGGCGGTTACTATTCTAAATTGTGATGGCCATCTGTTTCAAATGGTTTTGTTTTCAGAATATCTCTCATGTTTGACAGTATCTTATGTCTTATGATGTGTGAAAAAAACATATATATCTATTATATATATATATGTTTTGTTTGAATGGGTTGGTGTAACTGTTTTTTCCTTGCAATAGCCCTGGTGTTTTCACTTCACTTCATCTCCTACCACCAAGTGACGATCCACAGGCAACGGTGGCTATGCTGAACTGCAGAGTCACACCTGTGTGTGACTTGGCCGCACCAGGCAATGATGAAAGTCTAACTGTGCACTATGTATTTGTATGGATATACATAGTCGTATTTAGATACACATAGATGTTCTATGGTTATAGTTAGCTAAATGTACATTTTGAAAGAGATCCTTGGTAGTGGAGCAGCTCTGAGCCAGAAATGGAGGAACAAACAGATTCCAAACAATTCTCTAATTGCCGATGTTGAAGATTGGCCATTAACAGGATATAGTTCTTGTGTAATAACATGAAACATAAAAAACTCGAGTTGATATGTAATCCCCTCAACTCCGGTTATAATGTGGTTTTAAATTTGAATACAGTTTGTTTAATATTTAGTATGACCCCCCGTTAAAGGCCAGGGCTGGGGATGTGGGGTTCTTTTCATGGGTATACGGTATAGCTATGGTGAAATAACATCAAAGAACTACCACAAGTTGAGGTATAATCCCCTTGACCATGGCTTTATACGCAATGTGTTTCAAAATCAAACCATTCAAGACCTCAAAATTTCTGATCATCATTTTCCCTATTCAAGTATATATATATATATACATATATATACATACAGCATCATATATTTCGGCTTTTCGGCTAGGCCTTTGCCCTGCCCCACGGGCACGGTCAGCGGCGAGTTCGATGGCTCTTACAACATCTCGGAGACCACGGTGCGGGGCCCGGCCTGGCCTGGCGGGGCTGGGCTGGCGGGGCTGGGGATGGTCGGCTAGGCACCAAGATGTTGATATATGGGTTAGGCATCACTTATAATTACCCTCTGGTAAACTAACATAACTACGGAAAATCACCATTTTTAATGGGAAAACTCACTATAAATGGCCATTTTCAATAGCTATGTTAAATTACCAGAGGGTAGGCATCACTTGTAATTATATCCCATAGGATCCATGTATGGTATATATGCTAACATAAAGGGGGTATATTGATGGTAAATGTTACCATATATGGCATACATGGATCCTATGGGTATGATGCTATAAGAAAAAATCGATAATAATATATGATATGTATAGATATGTTATATAATTATATATACATACAATGTCAATCCTGGATTAATTGACCCCAAACAGCTGTTGAATTGGGGGGTACCATTTTTGTATCAGATTGTGACTATTTGGAGGGTACCCCCACAATCAATAAACCATGGTTCATTAATCCGGAGTTGACATTACACCCCAAACATGGTGATGACTTGGGGAAGGTTTATGCCGTTGGGTCTACCACATTATGATATATGAATATAAATGAGATGATTGGTAGAATGGATGGATCTAGATCTGGATGAATTTCATCACCACCTCATGTCGCTTTCCGTCAAAGGGTTTATTTAAATTTTCTTTTAGGTTTCTGAATCATCATACTTCATCAACTTGCATCAGTTTTGGTCAGCCGTGAGCGAAAAAGTTGATGGAAATAAAATGGGGTGGTTTGTGGGGTGTTTTTTGAGCTGGGTACAGGAGAATGTAGTGAAACCAGCCGGATCTAAATAGGTGCTTCCCAATTCGCAACTGATTCATAGGCAAGCAAAGGCGGCACACCATGGAGATTAGTGGGATTATGACTATGGATATGGTTTTCTCATTCTTGGCTGAAGACATATTGACATATGAGCAGTGTTCAAAGCCCTGTTGATTATCAGGGATTATAGGGGATTCTGCTATCCAGTATATTGGGGATTATCCCTATCCATAATTAATGAAACGACAGAGGGTTTTGAGCACTGCTCATATATCATGGAGTGATTAGATTTCTGTTCCTTTGGCCTGTTCGGCAGCAGGTTTTGAACATGTTTCTCCATAAATTACCATCTGGTTATGACTAACATGTCCATGGAGAATCAGCATGATTAATAGCTATATAATCAACCGGCAACCTTCCATGGCTATATGTCAAAATTACCAGAGGCTACCCAGACCATAAAATATCACAAGGTTCCCCGAATCCTTGGATAATATTGGCACATGTGTCCTGATCAAAAGTTGAAAAAAACATAGCCCGTATCAGGGGATTGTCGTTCCACCAGTAAAAGTCCAGAAGTGTAGGCCAACTCCCCAGAAGTGTAGGATTTCCTTTCTGGGTTTGATGACCATAGCACATTTTCTCTGTAGCTTGGCAGTGGCACATATAGATAATCCCAATGATTACTTTTTCCCATGTTTTTGCCTGGGTGAGAGCCATTTGTTCGGAACTACAGGATTCCTCAAAGATGTTTTTTTTCTTTTGCTTGGCGAGGCAGGGTGTATCATATGGTGTTTCTTAAGCAACTGTCCTTTAGTTTTCCAACTTGGGGGGTTTCGTAAAATAGGGCTAGCCCCAAATTCATCCAACATGAAACACCAGCTGGGGATGGGTCAAAACCCTATCCCCCTTTTGTTCACATCAAAATAGCTGGGATTTATGGATGTTCATCCCCATAAAAATGGTATGTATAGGTATTGATCCATAGCCAGTTCAGTATTGAAGCAACCATGGGGCCCTGGGGGAACCCCCATGACTTGGGAAACCGGAAACCTCCACGCCCAAAATTTCGCTCAGGCAGACTATGCCCACAACCAGAGCTTCACCGAGCAGTGCGCCTGGGCCAACCCTGGCTACACTGGAAGTTTCCAGGCCTGGGCCGCCATAAACCTATCCATCCTGACCAAAAATCGCCATTTAAGCAACCATTGCAGGTAAACCTACCATAAATCACCATAAATCACCATGTTGATGGGTGGTAAACCTACCATGACTGTTTGTTTTTTTTTGTTTACCACCCATCCCCTATGACTCCAGTTGTACCTTCTGAAAGGAAGTGGCCATGGATCCATAGGGATGGTGAGTTAAGCCACTGTTAAGCTGGTGATTTAACATGATTTGACCATGAAACATGCTGCGTCTTGATGGGGATTAAACATGATTAAACCACTTTTAAAAGATCTTTTAAATGGTTGCTTAACTGGTGATTGTTGGTAAGGATATAGGTGGATATTTCATGGGATATGTTCATGACACATGGAATGTCAAATGGATAATCTCTGGATGACTTTGATCATGAACCACTGAACCACCGCAAAAACTCCGGACATCGGTTCCCATCGGTTTCTGGAAAATTCTGGCAATGCGATTCGGGACCTTTCCGAATTTGCGGATGCCCTTTCTATGAACCTGGAGTTTCCGAGCTTGCTCACATATGGTTGGTAAATCTGGATGGTGGTTTCAAAGACTTCTTGCAACCCTAGATCATGAATCATGCCTACATTTTTGGGGCTTCAAGCTGCCTGCCTTGCAAGGGGTAACTGGTGGTTAGATCTTTGTTCACCTGTGGCAAAATGTGGAATGGCAGATTCAGAAGCCGAACTCCAACCAGGAAGGAGTGCAGAGAGGTCTTCCCCCGATTGTTTTCCAAATCCCAAGGTCATTTCATGTTATTTCTGTCATATCACGGTCGAAACTTGACTCTCAGGAACAAGTGCAGACAGGTTGATTTAAAAGGTGGGTGCTAAAAATTGTTGGGGTGCCATCTTGAGATTGTAACAGCCAAGCGACTTTCCAAGCCATAAAAAAATATCATTCGATGGTTCTGCTACTGAGAGGCTACCTGCAAGTTCGGCAACATCACTGGAGACTACTCCACCTGCGGGGCTGCCCAAGGTGACTTCAAAATGGGGGATTTACTCGCAACAAAAAGGCCATTTGAATGGGGAGATAAAGCAAAATTAAGGCTCCTTTATCCCCTACATTTCTGGAACAACACACATGAAAGCCAGAAAGTTTTGTTTTATGTTTTTTCCATGCTCGCTGACTTTCATGAATTTTATCTTCGTCATATTTGTCTGAATATAGAGTGACCCTAAGTTCACTAGTTAATCATCATATTCCCTATTTAATAGCCATTTGGGGGGTATACCCAACTTTCAGACAAACCCAAATGAAACCAACATCAAGTTGAAGTCATATATCCCGATCTATATTCCCATGAGATCCCTATGATATCTACCCTCTGGTAAACGTTTACATAACTATGGAAAGATCCACCATGCGATTAATGGGTAAATCATGGTAAAACCACTATTTCGACTGTCCCATGTTCAATAGCAAACTGTTCGTCATTACCAGGTAAACCAACATAACTACGGAGAATCACCATTTTTCATGGGAAAACTCACTATTTCAATGGCCATTTGTTGCTGGTAGAGAAATATCTCCATGTGTTGCTGGTTAGATCCCCATGATCTCCGTTGTTCCATGGAGTCCATTGAGGTATTGGAAATCCCTGTCCGGCTGGAACCAACATGGATGTGGGGGACACAGCGGTGATGGGGCTGTACCGCCATATGCAACTTGGAATGAAGCCATAACTAGCTGGTTACTTTCATTCATTGATCTTCGCGATGATTGTCTAATCTCATATTCTCACAACAAGTATCGCAGTGGCATTGTACAAAAGATGGATATTTATAGTTGATCCATTGTTGATCCTCATGTATCATAATTATATAGCCCCTCATACCCAATCGTGGTTAATTGGTGATATTTGGTGATCCATCCCTGGGAAATGTTGATTTTGGCGACGGATTTGCGAGGTAAATGATGGTTTTCATCTTGGGGTAACTATCCCAAAATGACCAAAATGTTTCAGGTGAAGGATTTTTTTTACATCCAGACATCCAGATACACGTTCAATAAACTTGGTTGAAAGTTTTTCCAGATACACATCAGAGTATATCAATGGGAATTCCAGGATCCTAAATTGGAGGTACTGTACCATATTTTTGGCCATATTTTGGGGGGATATCCCCTTACATGGAGTATATCAGACTTTGAGTCTCAGCAGGAACACAGGAACTCTGTTGAAACCCGACACCGCTCGACCGAACGTCCGGAGATGGTCCCCTCAAGTTGATGGTGCTAAGACGCAATGACTTTGTTGTTGCGTGGAGAAAAAATGACGACTTGTTGTGCTTCAAATTCAATCTCTTGATACTGTATGAATCCCCAAAGTTTCTGACTTCGGATTCTAGTTGCTGAGGTCCCCTATGATCTCAGATTGCCGTTTCTGCTGCTGAAGTCCCAAATGTTATTGGTTAGATCCAAAACATGTCACATCTTTTGCATCATGAGCAAATGTATACGTTACGTTCGGTGCTCTCAAATCTTAAATGTCTATAAATATTTTAACTTGATTCAGCAAACCAGATGTTTTTCGAATGCCATGATCTTTATAAATTGATTCCCTTAAGTTGTTTTTTTGGGTGCTATGAATCCCAAATTTTCATGGCTTAAATCCCCAAGCAGAAGCCGCGCAGGTCACTGTGGGGTGGGTCACTGCCAACCAGCAACATCCCACGCAAGCAGAGGCCGGGTCTGCCGACGTCTCCAGGTGCCTCCCAAGTTAGGTGTTGACCACATAAGTTTTTTTTGTACCCATGACGGATCCATGGTGCTGCCATATATGGTAACATGACTGGGGTATATTGATGGGATCCATGGAGCACCATATATGGCAGCACCATGGATCCGTCATGGGGTATAATATATGTAGAATCACCACAGATCCCAGGTCACCTATTTCTGAACGAACTTATCTGGGGGCACCTCCTTGTGAACAACCTCACTCGTGACAGGTGGTTCATGGAACCACATGGAATGCCTGGAAGCTCAGTTTGATGCGGTGCCATATGCCCCACACCTGGTTGTTGTTCCATGCATCCAGCAGAAATCCGACATTTCACCTGAACTAAACCAACTTAGCATAACTTAGCTATCATACATCAATTGTAATTCCATCAAACATCACCGTTCTTGTGGGTGAAATCACCCGGTTTCCATCCGTGAAATCCCCCTGGTGTTTCGGTGAAATCCACCACCGACGATCGGTTTTTTGAGGTGCTGTGCAGCAGCATCAACGGAGAGTTCTCCGGAAATGTTGAGATGCCGCTCAGCTCGGATTTCGATTGGTCAATCCCTTTCCGCAGCGCCCTAGGTGTGTGTGTGTGTGTTTTTTTCCGGGACATATCTGGTTGGTGGTTTGGAACAGCCGTGATTGCCCAAAGCTTCCAGCTGCTACGGCCGTTCTCACTGAACTTGGGTTGGTAGGACTACTAGGTAGCCATGGCGTGCAACTTTCCCATGACATTTGCAAATCATGCAGTTGGTGACAAGGTTTCTGTGGTATCCATGCTGAGGTGTTTTGATCCGAGCCATGAGTCACATATCATGGAGTCGTCTCACGATAAGGTGGTCTTCAGATTGCAGGGTATGTTGGATGGATCATACGAGAAGTTCAGTCTCATGAATGCCAGGTTTCAGCAGCAGTACCCCACTCCGATCTTGGTTTTGGAATCTGACTCCCATGTTTTCCAGCATTGCTCACCCACCTGGTCATCATTGAGGGACACCATCGACTTGTGCGCTGGCTTCGGAGGTTTCTGTCAGGGTTCAGCTGCATGTGGCTTCTATACCAGGGTTGCCGTTGACTCAAATGACAGAATGTTGAGCCTTTTTTCCAAGCAGTGCAACTCAGAGGTCATTTTGGGAGATGTTTGCCTTTTGTCAACAATGGTGAAGATCTGGGATGTCGCAAAAGGTGCCGGCACTTTGACTGCGGGCTTCAGTTGCCAGCCCTATTCCCTTTTAGGTGACCGTAAAGGAGCCTTGGATAGTAGGTCTTCATGTCTCACAGGTGTTCTGTCAATTGCTTACTACACAGGGGTCCATGCAATTGTTTTGGAATGCGTCTCTCCTGCTGCTGAGAATGGATTTGTGAAAGCCGAGATTGAACGCTTCATCGAGGCCACTGGATACCATTGCTGTAGGAATGAGTTATGCCTTCAGGACATTTGGCCCTCTCGTAGATCACGAGCGTGGTGGCTGATTACATCCCCTTTGATCGGCCCAGTCTCATTTGACACGTTGCCTCGCAGTCTTGCAGTTTCTAAGGTGTCTCAGGTCATTAGTCAGATTTTGCCATGGGACAAACATGATGAAAGTGCCTTGGAACTGTCATTGATTGAACGCCAGGCATTTGGTGCTGATTCAGACTTGTACACAAAATACCTGCTGAACTTTGAGGGCTGTGCGCCGTGCGCTTTGCATGCATGGGGGTCTCAAGTGGGCCCATGTGAATGTGGGTGTCGCAATGCAGGACTTTCGAGTCGTCGGTTGGAAGAGAAAGGGTTGTATGGCCTGCTGATTCAATCCGCTCCAGATGACTCAGGTATGCGTGTGCTTCGCCATGCTCACCCAAATGAAGTCATGGGATTGAATGGGTATGATCCAGTAGTTGACTTTGGGAAGAATGTCAGACTCACGCTTGCTGCTGCGGGGCAATTGGCCAGTCCCCTCCATGTGGTGTGGGTCATGTCTCATTTGTCTGCACGCCTTGATGAGTTGAGATTTGGAAATCCCAGTTTTAACCCGATTGCCCAATTGACTGCCTACGAATCGTGGTTGCTGTGCAGGTGCCGTCAGGTATGGCCCAGTGAGAAAGAGACCATTCCAGATGAGAAGATGGTGTCACTCATGCACTTTTGGTCATGCATCCCACAAATGTCGATTCATGAACTGGTTCACCCAGCGAAGTGGCATGATTTGGAGTGTTTTGATGTCACAATTGCGGCAGTGTTGGATCATGTGATTCGTGCACACCAGAAAAAATTGACTGTTCCAGACACGGTTCATGATGACGAAATTGATGAGGTGAGCCTTGATTTGTCTGATGACTCACCTACTCCATGGCATGATCATTTCTTGGCGACTGCTGGTAGGTATGCCGGTGATTCCATGCACGAATGTGTCCTTGTCTTTTGCCATGAGTTCTCCGACCCTGTCAGAGTCCAGGTAACAGGTGGTCACACGGTCCATGAGTTGCTTCAGGCTCAGATTCAGCTGGTTGGCGATCTTCAGATCGTTGATGTCAGAACTCCTTTGGGAAAGACACTGCCTTTTGATGCGTTCATTGAGCCTGGCCAAGTTGTGTGCATTCGTTGTCAAGAATCCAGTGCCCATTCCAGCCTGCCTGCGATCCGTTCAGATGCACAGCTGCCTGATGCGGCTGATGACAAGGTCAGCGTTTTGTCTGACCGGATGGAAGTCACCACTCCGAATCCGATTGTTGTTTCACCAACGGTCCCCTGGACCCAACCGGTTGAGGAGCAGCATGTCATTCAGCATGAAACTCAACAGAGCTCACAGGTGGGTGTGGATAATCTTCATGGAATGATGAACCAGTCGTGGATTTCGGCTGCTCCTTTGCTCAGTTTGAAGGGCTCACAGTTTTTGAACATTGCTCCCCCGGTAGCTCTCAATGATATGCACTTGGCCTCCTTGCAAAACCAGCTGTTGCTCCCTGAGGACCGCAAAACCATTTTGTCTCACCAAGATGAAACATGGTCTGATGATGAATTCAGATACCACATGGCGATGCTCAATCATATGTATTGTAATCACCAGATTAAACATGCCACGAACCCTGTGAAGCCTTGCATCATCGTTGACCCGCTTTTGTCAACTTCATGGACTGCCAGTGATCAATCATCAGTCATGCATTGGGCCAACTGTCATGCTGAGATCAGGCAACAGGGCAACACTGTGGTTGGGGTCGTCTTGATTGATTCACATTGGATCCCTTTTGTCTTGGTTCCACAAGGTGAAATTTTGCACTTGCGAACCTGGGATGCACCCCAGAATGACCATGCTAGGATGAACCAGGTTTTCACTACGCTTAGCAAGTCACTGGGATTTTCTTCCCTTCATGTTTCTCGATTGCATCGGATGTTTTTCACCACCACACACTGTGGTGCTTTGGCAATGGGTTTTTTGCTGCACTCATTACTGGATATCATGCTGCCTGACAGTCATGACGACGCTGTTGCGTTGCATCACAAGTTGCGAGACAGTTTTTGCACAGCACTTGATGGCTCCAAAATGGTACAACGTCCATGGATGTGGGGTGCAGGTGACAACGCTCAGGATCAGTCTGCTGGTTCCAATGCACCAAACGCTGAGGCCCTTTCATCGGTGTCTCTTGGATTTGGGGTAGAGGGTAGTCTAGCTCATGTCTGCATCCCAGTTGAAGATCGTCTTGAACTGTTGCGGTCCAAAGGAAAGATGTTAGCTGATGATGATGCGGTTCCACATCAATGCATTGATGACTTGCCCAGAGAATGTCGCCTTTCAGGACAATCCAGCCATTCCAGGGTTTGTCATGTTGGAGCCACTCCTTTTGGAAACATGGAACACGGTAGGAGAAAGATTGTGTGTCTCTTGGTGCCGATTGAATCCTCAGATCTTTGAGAAGGGTCATCACATTGTTTCGGTTGTGTGGCATCAAGAGCATTGGCTACCAATTTGGATTGCCCCGAATGATCATCATTTGGTTCTTCACACCATGCATGATGCCGTGGTCGATGATCAAACACTGATGCCATTGTTGCAATGCATCCAACAAACCTTGGGATTCACTGACGCAACGATCCATAGGTTCCCTAACCGTGTGTGTGACCAACAAATGTGTGGTACTCTTGCCATTGCCTTCCTCGCTCATGTCATGGTAGGTCACCCTGTGCCAGACACGCCTCAAGACATTAAAGACCTGCATGCCAATCTGAAGGCTGCCTTTGTTGAAGCTGTTTTCGCCAGCAGGTGTTGCCATTGCCCCGTTGCTTGGGGTGCAGGATCCGGAGGGCCTTTGATTCAAGCCTTGTCAGCAGAGCTTGTACAGCATGGTGTCCCGTCACAATTGGTAGATCAGAGATCCCAGCAAGCCATTCGAGCAATTGGTAGTGAACAAGTCCAGGGTGCCCTGAAAGAGACCAACCCGTGGCGAGCACTGAAAAAGTTGGGTAACAATGCCCGGTTTCAATTCATCCTCCCTGCAGAACTTGCGCAGTTGGTGGCTGAGAACAAAGGAGCATCAATCAATCGCAAGAAAGATATGCCTTTGGTGAAAACGGGTCCTCCACCTAAGGTGGCAATTGACCCAGCCAAGCTTGTGATTATGGACTCGTCCTTACAATGTCAGGGTCATGGGATTCCCCAAATTGCACCGAAGCAAATCGGGCCCGTTGCATGTGGTATTGCCCTTCTCACAATGGCTGAGGCCGAACCATACATGAGGGCTGGAAAGATTGTTTCCACTGAACCTTTGGCCATTGCTGTTTTTCCTGCTGAGGGTCAAGAGGTGAACACCGTGTTGCCACACAAGCATGCCACCATTCCATGTAAGTGTTCGGTCAACAATGAGCCTCTCCTGGTAGATGCGGTGGTCATTCAAATTGGTTCAGGTTTTGTGGATAAGAGGGTTTCCAATCCAGCCATCACTCTTGAGCCATTGGATGTTGCAACGGTCAAGATTCTGGTCTATCGAGACGAATTTCAGGGTGAGTGGAGTGATTTTGTGCAGTCTCCGATCAAACACCTTGTACAGATATTCCCCATCTTGAAACGATGTGAGGCTGCCGACTGCTCCTGTGAGTGCTGGCACAATCCTGCTCAGTTGCAACTCCGTGAACCAATCATGGATGTTTGGCGCCGCCAGTTCCTCAAGAATGGCTTTAAGCCAACCAAGGCCAGTGATGCGGTTCTGTTTTCTGTGTGTATCAGGGTCCCGAGTGGCATTTTGCCCCAACTCTTGGCTGCCAGTGGCCATTCAGGTGCATACACAGAGCCGCGCACGCCAGACGGGCGTGATGTGATGTCTGAATACATCGTGGTGTGGGCCTCGAAGCTTAGTGTCTCTGAACTGATTCATGTCAAGCAGACCAATCCGGCAGCAGTGGGCCTGGCCAGATTGGGTGAGCGCAGAGGGTTGCGCGCCATGTCATCCCAAGCAGCTGCTTTGCACAATGTGCTCCGACCGGAGTCCACGTTCCTTCCACAGGGACCAAAGTCACAATATGTTGCGGGGCCGTTTCCGTGGGGATCAGACCGTCAGGCAATTGGACGTGCGATGAAACAAGCCGGCTGGGAAGTGAAACCACTTCAGCCCATGCAGCCCATACCGGGCAAGGGATCCATGTGGCTGCTTCAGACCATTGAGGACCCACCTGCTGCAATCTTGACCACATCCCATGGTGAAGTTGTGATTTCAAAGCACAAATCTCAGACCCTTTCCAAGACGGCCAAGGTTCACACTGTTGGGGCTGCAAGTACCATTTCGCTGTGCGGCAAAGACCCAGCCATTAAGTTGGGAGAGGACCCATGGATTGCCCATGACCCATGGAAGCAGTATGCTCCTGGCAAACCTGCCTCATGCATTCCCACGGCAAGTGACGGTATCCAACAGTTGGCAGACAGAATCCAGTCCGAGGTCTTGTCGAAGCTTCCTGCGATTGCACCGATGGAGCAAGATGACATCCCTGAGCGCATGACAACGCTTGAGACCCAGGTGAAGCAATTGATGGGCCAACACAAAATGTTGGATCAAAATGTCCAGGACCTTTCCAACCAAAACGCCCAACAGTTTGCCAATATGCAGTGCCAGTTGACCCAGCAGAGTCAGCAATTGCAAGGACAGATCGACGGCCATTGCCAGAACATGCAGGCCCTGATGGAGCATCAGATGGTTCAGATCAGGGGCCTATTGGCCAAACGCCCGAGAGATGACTCCACCATGGAGTGACGGTGTGGGGAAGGGCTCCTGAAGCCGGGTTTGTGCTCTCTTCTTTTGTTTGGATGCGCATTTTCCATGATGATGTTTGGTAAGCAGGGAGCCCTTATCCCCATTGGCTTGGCAATCACTTTTTTGTTTTCGATGCAGCTGGCCGTGTGTCAACCCATGCATTTGCCGATGCGATTCAAGCCATGGTGGTTTGTTGCTTTGATGAGTGCAGGGCTGTTTCGAATCGGGGAGGCATCAAACCCTGGACCGCCAGTTCATTTTGATGCCAGTTTTGATTCCAGTTTGTTTCACATTGGTACCTTCAATCCATCGGGCTTGCGAGGTAAAGCCCCATACATTGATGCACATTTACCACATGGGGATCTGTGGACTGTTTCTGAGACTCATTTTTTTGGACGAGACCTTCAATCATTTCGGGCTGGCCTCAAAGCCAATCGGTCTCCTCTCCGATATTGCTTCAGTGATGCGTGTTCCATGAAGCCCAGGTTGCTGTCCAACACGTCGTGGAAAGGGGTAGCTGTTTTGGCCAAAGTACCGACGCGCCCCATCCCTGCCCAAATACCGCAGGTGATTGCTGACTCTGGTAGGGCTCTTGTTTTCACATCCCTTCTACATGATGCTTGGGTCACAGGTGCAGTCGTTTATGGTGAACCGGATGGCCATAATTACCCAAACCACAAAGCCAACACAGAGTTCCTCTTGCACCATGTGGCTTCCCATGTCTGCAATTTGAGCTCTGGATTGCGTTTCATCTCCGGTGATTGGAACGTTGAATGTGACTCTTTACCCGTGTTTGACTTGCTGGCACAGGCGGGGTTTCGTGATGTCCAGGATATTGCTCTTTCGCAATGGGGTTCCCCGGTCCAAAAGACTTGCAAACAGCGTACTAGAAAGGATTTCCTATTCCTGTCACCTGAATTGCAGGCCCTGTTGCAAAGTGTTGAAATTACTCATGACATTTGGCCGGACCATGCAGTGTTGAGTGCATCGTTCCATAGCCCAAGATCTCTCCCACCGCAGTGGAAATGGCCCACACCGGCTGCTTTCCCTTGGCCTGCTGAATTTGGACATGAGATCGTGTGGGATGCCACACCTGACCCAACAAGCGCATATGCCACTCTCTGGCAGCAAATTGAGCAGGCTGCTTGTGAACAATTGCCTTTTCCTGTTGCACGAGGGTTGACAGTGCTTGCCCAAACGTTGAAACCAAGTTCCCACCGCAGAGGTTCTTTTGCACCAATCAAAAACCCTAGACGGGGGGATTTTCAGCACCAGTATTTTGGCACGTCCACCAAATATGCTCAATGGGTGCGACAGGTACGTAGACTTCAACATTTTGGAAGAATGGTGAAGGCTGAACAAGTTTCGCCGGGACAACTTGCTGAAGTTTGGAGTTCTATCCTGCGGGCAAGAGGTTTTGCACCCAGTTTTGCTCAATGGTGGGTTTTGTGCCCTTTTAAATCTGCTCATGCGCCTGTAGTTTGCCCTAGCTGTCCTCCTGACCCGGTAACTGCAGATGCGATGTTTGAGTCGGTTATGATGGCTACAAGAGATTTTGAGATTCTCCTGAAGA